AAAGTAATATATTAATGTAACCTTTTAATAAGAATTTGAGTGGTTGATGCCTACTTTCATATTATTATTTTATTTTAAGAGACAAAGTCTTGCTCAGTTGCCCAGGCTGAAGGTTGAAGAAGAGTAAAAGAACATTTCAGAGAGTGTTGTGTCGGATCTTCTTCAGTCTTGAATTGCAGTAGAATTGTATATGACATAGACAGCCAACCATTTTTTTCCTTATCTGCTATTTAAAGGTTTCAGGAAAAAGCTGGGCATGGTTGTGTGTGCCCATAGTTCCAGCTACCCAGGAGGCTGAGGTGGGAGGGTCTCTTGATTCCAGAAGTTTGAGGCCATCCATGGTAACATAGCAAGACTCGGTCTAAAAAAAAAGAGATTATAGGAAAATATAAGTCAAATTAAAAAATATTATGAAGTGTTTCAGATATATGAAAAAGTTTAAAGATAACATGCATGTTACAAATACAGCTATATTTAAAAAGTAAGAGTCTGGGTGTGGTGGCTCATACTTGTAATCCTAGCATTACTTTGGGATGCCAAGGTAAAAGGATTTCTTGAAGCCAGGAGTTTGAGACCAGCCTGAGCAACAAGGCAAGACCCCCATTGCTTCAAAAACTTTTAAAATTAGCCAGGTATGGTAGCACATGCCTGTAGTCTCAGCTACTCAGGAAGCTGAGGTGGGAGGATTGCTTGAGCCCCAGGAGTTCGAGGTTATAGTGAGCTATGATCATGCTATTACACTCCAACCAAGGCGTGAAAGGGAGACCCTGTCTCATAAAATGAGGGAGGGAGGGAGAAGATACTTTAAGTACCAATAAAGCCCCCTCTGTTCCTTTTTCCAATTGAAGTCTCCTTTCCTTTTCCCCAGATGTAACCATTGTCTCAATTTATGGTATATCTTTTATTTTTTTCTTGAGTTGGAGTTTGACTCTGTCACCCAGGCTGGAGTGCAGTGGCACACTCATGACCACCCCAGTGTTGGCCTGCTGGACTCCGGCAATCCTTCTGCCTCAGTCTTCCAAGTAGCTGGAACTACAAGAGCACACTACCATACCCCACTAATTTTTTATTTTTGGTAGAGATGAGGTCTCAACAAATTGCCTGGACTGGTCTCAAACCCACGGGCTCAGGCAATCCACTTCCCTAGGCCTTCCAAAGTGCTGGGATTACAGGCTAAGCCACCAAGCCCAGCCTGTACATAATTTTTTATATGTATGTATACACCCCTAAGTGATACATAGTGTAATATATGATATTGTTTTGCTTTGCTTTAAAACTATGCTATCTTGAGCAAAATACTAACAAAACTGAATTCACTAACATATCAATTGGATTATATACCATAAACAAGTAGAATTTATCTCAGGGAAACCAGGTTGGCTCATTATATAAAAATCAATCAATTTAATACACCACGGTAATAGAATAAAGGGCAAAGACGACACAATCATCTGAATAGACACAGAAAAAGCATTTGACAAATTCCAACCTCCTTTCATGACTAAAGAAACGTGGAGCAAACTGGAATAGAAGGAAATTTCCTCAAACCGGTAAGGGGCATCTATAAAAAACTTAGCTAACTGTACTTAATGGTGAAAGGCTGAAAGCTTTTTGCCTAAAATCGGACATAAGAGAAGGAAGGATGTCTGCTCTTGCCACTTCTATTCAACATTGTACTAGAAGTTGTTGCCAGTGAAATTAAGCAAGAGAAGAAAATGAAAGGCATCTAGATTGGAAAGGAAGAAATAAAACTATTTGTAGCTCACTTGTATATAGAAAATACTAAGGAATCCACAGAAAACTATTAGAGCTAATAAATAGTTTCTGTAAGATTGCAGGATACAGGATCAATATGCAAAATAGTATTTCTATGTATTAGCAGTGAACAATCTGAAAATGAAGTAAACACTCAGGAATAAATGTAACAAAAGAAGTTTAGAATTTAGAAAAGATCATTTCATTTGTGCTTGATGACAGAAGTTTGTGGCAGCCAGCTTCAGATTTTTAAAAATTTTCTCCAGCTCTCAGTATTAGGAAAGTGAAAAATGTGCTGATTGTAAATGTGTTAATATTGCTAAGATGGTAATACTGCTCATTACAATCTACAGATTCAGTGCAGTCCTTATCAAAATCCTAGCTTGGTATTTTGCAGGACCTGGGAAGCCAATTTCAATAACTCATGCAAATGAAAGGGACCCAGAATAACCAAAATAACTATGAAAAAAAAGAGCAAAGTTTGGAGTACTTCTCCTTCCCTGTTTTATTCTATTTTATTTTTTTTTGAGTTGGAGTCTCACTTTGTCACCCAGGCCGGAGTACAGTGGCATGCTCCCTTGGTCACCGCAGCCTCGACCTGCTGGACTCAGGCGATCCTTCTGCCTCAGCCTTCCAAGTAGCCAGAACTACAGGCACGCGCTACCACGCCCGGCTAATTTTTGATTTATTGTAGAGACAGGTCTTGCCAAGTTGCCCAGGCAGGTCTCAAACACGCGGGCTCAGGCAATCTACTCGCTTTGGCCTCCCAAAGTGCTGGGATTTCAGGCTGAGCCACTGAGCCTGGCCTCCTTCCCAATTTTAAAACTAACTACAAAGTACAGTAATGAAGGCGTTTTGGTACTGGCGTAAGGATAGACCTATAGATTGTTGGAATAAAATTGAGAGTCCAGAGATAAACTGATACATTTTTGGTCAGTTTTCAACAAGGGTGCCAAGACAGTTAAAACTGGGGAAAGAAAAGTCTTTTCAACAGATGGCACATGGACAACTGGGGAAGCACATGCAAAAGAATGAATTTAAACCCCTACCCTATATCATACACAAAATTTAACTCAAAATAGGTCAAAGGCTAATGTAAGCTAAAATTACAAAATAAAAGTATAAAAAATTATTTTCTTAAAATATAGGCATAAGTCCCTGTGATCTTTGAGTAGGCAATGATTTCTTAGAAATAACACCAAAAATATAAAGAAAAAATAGATAAATTAGATTTCATCAAAATTAAAAACTTGTGCATCAAAGGACAATATCAGAGTAAAATAACCTGCAGAGTAAAAGAAAAAAATATTCATAAATCATATCTGATAAGGGACTAGAATCTAGAATATTATATAAATAACTGGTAAAATTCAGCAATAAAATAAAAATGGGTAAAGGATTTATTTTTTTAATTTTTAAATTTTTTTTTTAAAGATGTGGGGTACAATTCAGGGTTAGTTATATAAATGTTCATTATGCAGGTACCCTTGTTGATGAGGTGTGCCACCCCCACCCCCTCTGGCAGTTTCCCGCTACTGCCAATCCTATTCTTATAGTATTATGATAACTGTTCAAGGTCCATTTATGAGTGAGAACATGTGATACTCAGTTCTTTGTTTCTATGATAGATCCTTTAGTATTATAGCCTCTGAGTCCATCCAAGTTGCTGTGAAGTTCATAATTTTGTCTTTCTTTGTGGCTGCGTAATATTCCATCATGTATATCTATCACTTTTTTAATCCAGTCCTCTTTTGCTGGACAGCACAGTTGGAAAGGATTTCAATAGACATTTCTCCAAAGAAGTTACACAAATGGCCAATATACACACAAAAAGATGCTCAGCATTGTTAGTCATTAGGGATATATCAATCAAGACAATGAGATACTATTTTGAAAATACCTACTAGAATGGCTAGATAAAAAGATGGACAATGACACGTGTTAGCAAGGATGTTGGGCAGTTGGAGCCCTCACATAATGGTGGTATATACTCCCAAGAACCTACTCAAGAGAATTGAAGCTGTAAATCTTATATAAAAATTTGCACACAAATATTCATAGCAGTATTATTCATAATAGCCAAAAAAGTGGATGCAGCCTAAATGTCTGTTATCTGATGAATGGATAAACAAAATGTGATCTATACATCCAGTGGAATATCATTCAGCTATAAAAACAGATAAAGCACAGCATGAAAGAACCTTGGAGATATGCTGAGAAGGAAGCCAGATGCAAAAGGCTGCATGTTATATGGTTCCATTTACTTGGAATGTCTAGAATAGGCAAATCTATAGAGAGAGAAAGGAGATTAGCGGTTGCTTAGCACTGGGGGGAGACAGGAATGGGGAGTGACTAATGTTGGGTATAGGTTTCTTTTGGGGTGATAGAAATGTTCTGGAACTTGATAGTAGTGATGGTTGCACAACCTTGTGAAAATGCTAAGTACTAGTAGAATTGTACACTTTAAAAAGTTGAATCTTATGGAATGTGAATCATACCAATTTAAAAGCAAAGGGGGAATATGAATAAATACTCTTATGATGTGATAGGTAGATAACCCAATTAAAAATGGGCAAAATATGACTGGGCTCGGTGGCTCAGCCTGTAATCCCGCGCTTTGGGAAGCCGAGGTGAGTGAATTGTCTGAGCCCGCGAGTTTGAGACCCGCCTGGGCAACTTGGTGAGACCTCATCTCCACAATAAATCAGGAAAATTAGCCAGGTGTGGTAGTGCGCGCCTGTAGTTCCAGCTATTTGGAAGGCAGAGGCGGGAGGATCACCGGAGCCCAGCAGGTCGAGGCTGCGGTAGCCGGGAGTGGTCACTGCACTCCAGTCTTGGCGACTGAGTGAGACTCCAACTCAAAAAAAAAAAAAAAAGGGCAAAATAGATATCATGACATTTCACAATTGTAAATCTTAATAGTTAACATTTGAGGGATAGTTATGTGCCTAGTATTAAACACTTTACATAAAAATTTGTAGTCTTTACAAGCAACCTTGGGGATAGCTTCTATTGTTATTTCCATTTTATATGTTTAGAAATAGGGCCTGGTTAAGTAATTGAATATTCTGGCTAATGAGTTTTGGACTAAGATTCAAGAGCTCACTTTTTGTTCACTATACTAAGTCCTGTATATAGTATATTATGGTATACTACTTACCATTCTTACTCAGATCTCTGTGTAGACACTTCATTTCACAGGGCTGACTAACCATCTACACCATGCCTGTTTTTCTCATTTCCAGATCTATTAATGAGATGAAACGGTTGGAGGAAATGTCATATATGTTTCAGAGCTCTGGAGTCAAGTGCCACTCTCCAGAACCAAAATCCCAAACAGAAGGGGGTGAAGATTCAGAGGGCAAAGAGCAACCATGGGAAATGGTGATGGATAAGAAACACTTTAAGCTGTGGCGGCGCCCAATTATAGGAACTCACCTTTACCAGTACCGAGGTGAGCCCAGTGTGGCTGCCTTTTTAGTGTGGCTGCCTTTTTAGTGTGGCTGCCTTTTTAGTGTGGCTGCCTTTTTAGTGTGTTTGATGACTGCTCAGGTGCACAGGACTTCTGTTCCTCATACTTTTCTGAACTGTTCTATCCTGGTTGTTTCTCAGAAAATTTACTATGGTTTTATGTTTTTTTTTTTCTCCTGGATGACAAGTGTCTCAGTGTCTTCTTTGCTATAGGTCATCTTTGTCTATCTATCTTTATTGCTCAAGAATGACTTCTGGTGAACCTGCCTTTAAGATCTGTTAGTACTTTAGAATTGAAATGCCAGTTAGGTGATAGGAATAAGACATGTGACAGGAGTGTGGCAAGCATCCTTTATTTTTTCTTGTCATTCTAGTTTTTGGAACCTACACAGATGTGACACCTCGGCAGTTCTTTAATGTTCAGGTGAGTTAATTTTTCTCTCCAGATTTGGAGCCTCTTAACCTTTCATTGTCCACATGAAAACCAGTTACCACTGACTCAGGTGGCACTGACTTCCATCCATCTGTCTATACCTCTCATCCTATATCACATAGCATCTGGGTAAACATTTGACTTGGAATTTATCTGTCCTATGGAAATGAGACTGATTCTACCCCTTCACAGGACTTTTGGGAAGGAGTGAGTTTGAATGCTTTAACATATTTATAAGGTTTTATTGATTTATTTTTTTCCCTGCGCAATTTGAGAGTAAGTTATATATATCATAGCCCTTTATTCCTAAATCCTTCAGTGTGTATTTCCTGAAACTAGACATATTCTCTGAACTAACCATGGTGCCATCATTAAAGTCAGTACATTTAATATTGATTCAACACTTATGTAATATGTTTATATTCCAGTTTTATCAGCTGACCCAGTAATGTCCTGTATAGCATTTTCCCCTTCAGTACAGATCCAATCTGGATTCCATTTAGTTGTTGTATCTTTTTAACCTCTCTTAATCTGGAACATTTTTATACTGAAGTATTTATTTAATAAAGGTGTAGAGTATCTGTTCAAAGACTGCGTTTCTCTTTGAGTATAAGATGTTTAAAACAAAAATGAAAAGGGGAGGTGAGATCACCCAGAATTCTACACAAAAATTTTTTTCCTTCCTGAATTTTTCATTTGTTTGCCATTCTTACAGTAACTAGTTTGCTGGCTATAATACGAACTAGTAATATGCAAGTGCACTTTCCTCCAAGCACTGAGTTTTGCCAATTTCATTGAATTCTTTTTTTTTTTTTGAGTCAGGGTCTCATTCTGTTTCCCAGTCTGGAGTACAGTGGCACAGTCATGACTTACCACAGCCTAGACCTCCTGGGTCTTCCACCTCAGTCTCCTGAGTAACTGGGCATACATGTGCATGTCACCATGCCTGGCTAATTTTTTTATTTTTTGTAGAGATGAGGTCTCGCTGTTTTGCCCAGGCTGGTCTTGAACTTCTGGAATCAAGTGATCCTTCCATCTCAGCCTCCCAATGTGTAGGGATTACAGACATGAGCCACCATGCCCGACCACCATGAATTTTTGTTGGTTTCAATACGTATATGTCTGTCTTAATTGGAAATTCTTCAGTTATTAGTAATGCCAGAAATTTTACAAAATTTGCTACTTGCGTTTTTTGTGCTAGGTGCCTGCTCATACTTTTGGATTTTTTGTCTGTTTAAAACTTTTTTAGAATTGTCTTGCCCTTCTACATTTGTATTACTATATATCTTCCCCAGATGTGCCTATTAAGTATTTTTTTCTTATACTTTTCCTTGGTATGACTTTTTCTTTTTAAGGTTTACCTTCAGTATATTGATAGACTAACTTTCAGTGTAATGATATTGGCCTATAGCAAGGGATTGTAAAATAATTGTCTATAGTAAACAGTTGTATCTCTAACACTTTAGCCTTGTCTGTTAGCTCAGATTATTTATTTATTTATCTATCATTTTTTTTAGTTAGAGTCTCACTCTGTCGTCCAGGCTGGAGTGCAGTAGCATGCTCACGGCCACCCCAGTGTCAACTTGCTGGACTCAGGCGATCCTTCTGCCTCAACTTTCCAAGTAGCTGGAACTACAGGCACGCACTACCACGTCCAGCTAATTTTTCATTTGTTGTAGAGACGAGATCTCGCTGGGTTGTCTGGGCTGGTCTCGAACCTGTGGGCTCAGGCAATCCACTCGCCTCGGCCTCCCAAAGTGCTAGGATTACAGACAAGCCCGGCCAGGTCAGATTATTATTTCCACATAATAAAGTCCTTGGGTCAGAGGCCAAAGTGTCTAGAAAGCCTGCATTTTTTTTGGGGGGGGGTCTTCTTGGGTCTTCATGGTCTTTTTTCTTTCTACAGCTGGACACAGAGTATAGAAAAAAGTGGGATGCCCTGGTGATCAAACTGGAGGTGATCGAGAGGGATGTGGTTAGTGGTTCTGAGGTTCTTCACTGGGTAACCCATTTTCCTGTAAGTGTTTTTACTTCTGGTTTTACTTCTGTCAAGGCTGTGTGATGCAGAACACTAATCCTGCTCTCCATTTCTTCAGTATCCAATGTACTCACGGGATTATGTTTATGTTCGGCGGTATAGTGTGGATGAAGAAAACAACATGATGGTGTTGGTGTCACGGTATGTATGGCTGTCTGTGGCTCTTCCTGAGTTCCTTTGTCTGTGCCCTTCCTTTATCGTATCTGAGTTGCATGTTTTCAGTGCCCTGGGGAGTCTCCCATAAGCTCCCAGTAGCCAGTGTCTCATCCATCCAGCTAGATGAGTGCGCTGTGACTGTCTAAGAAACAAAATTTCAGTTAAACAGTTTCTTTGGGTTCCTTAATGTTGGTACTGGGAAAAAGAAGTCGCTGTCATTGATACAGTCTAGTGAGCCATAAATTACCAAAGGAATGTACTTCATTTGGGAACTTAGTTTGCTTTCATTCATCTTAGTGATGCCTCTGTTTTGTTTATTTTTAAAATTAGAGCGACTTTTTAGGTCTTCCCCTTAGCTTAGCTCCTCTGTTATTTTATACATAGACATTACTAGGAGTTTGCTTTACCTTTCCTCCTTTTCAGAGCTGTGGAGCACCCTAGTGTGCCAGAGTCTCCGGAATTCGTCAGAGTCAGATCATATGAATCCCAAATGGTTATCCGTCCCCACAAGTCATTTGATGAGGTGAGTTTTATCTCACCTGAAAGATAATGTGTCAAGACTTTGGGATTTTCTCAAGGAATGCCTTTTATCTGAACTAGGGAGGGGTTGCATTCTCAACAGAGGCTGATACTGCTGGTCTGGGCATGATATTTTGGGAGCTCCTGCTGTAGGATGATAGACCTGGAAGACCCCCAAGGACAAAGTAGTGATGATACTTTGAATCCCTTTTATCTGAGAGACAGTTATGAGAAGGTGATAGCCACTGACTGTAGCCTGTCTCAGCAGTATTCTTCAGGAGCTAGAGCCTTCTCTCAACAGTTCACCACAATGGACAGAGCACTGAAGACCTTTCTGGATTTCGGCTTCCTTGTCTGTAAAGTAGGAGGGTTAGATTGATGCTCCCTGCCTTCTTTGAAATTCTGTGACCTAGCTGAGCGTGGTGACTCACACCTGTATCCCAGTGCTTTGGGTGGCCAAAGCAGGAGGATTCTTGAGGCCAGGAGTTCAAGAGCAGCCTGGGCAACATAGCAAGACCCTGTCTTTAAGAAAAAAAAAATTAGCCGGGCATGGTGGCGTGTGCCTGTAATTCCAGCTACTTGGCAAGTTGAGGCAGGATGATTGCTTGAGGCTAGAAGGTTGAGGCTGCAGTGAGACAAGATTTTACCAGTCTGGGTGACAAAGGGAAACCCTGTCTTAAAATACATACATACATACCCACAATTCTGTGACCTTTCTTTGAAAATAATATATACTTTGGATTCATGGGATGTTTGGTTTTGTTTTTGTTTTTTAAATGAAATCTCCTTTGAGTGTACATATTGATTCCAGTGGTTGTTGTTTTTAGTTCCATTTCACCTTATAATGGCTTTGTTTGTCCCTATTGCTTGTGTTTGTTTTAGAGCTATATGGACTGTGTTCTTTATTTTTTTTATTCTCATCAAGTTGTTTTATTTATACCACCTGAAGTAGGACCTACACTATAATGGAGACAGTAGTTCACCTCAGTCAATGTGATATTTGATTCTCTTTTTTTTTTGATTCAGAGTCTCACTTTGTCACACTCACGGCCATCCCAGTGTCAACTTCCTGGGCTCAGGTGATCCTTCTGCCTCAGCCTTCCAAGTAGCTGGAACTACAGGCGTGTGCTACCACTCCCGGCTAATTGTTTGATTTGTTGTAGAGATGAGGTCTCGCCAAATTGCCCGGGATGGTCTTGAACTCACAGGCTCAGGCAGTCCACTCGCCTCGGCTTCCCAAAGTACTGGGATTACAGGCTGAGTCATCAGGCCCGACATTTTTGTAGAAAAGGAATAAGTAGTACAGAATAGAAACTATCTGAATGTAGACATATTTCATGGAACTTTTGTTTGCTTACTTACGTACATATGAGTGTGTATAACAGAGAGACCTAGGTTGCAGAGTAAAAAGGATTATTTAAAAAGAGTTATGATTAAAATGTTTGACGGTCACTTGCTTTAGACTATAAAAAAGGAGGTGAGGCTACCTGGCTAGTTACCTTTAGGAAGGGGAGACTGGGGCAGCCTAGAACAGTGTGTGAGGAAAACTCAGGTCTTTCTTTATTCCTTTTGCTGTTTTTGAGTTTTGAACCCTGTACATGTGTTGTCTATTTGAAAAAAAGTGATCTGAGTTCCAGCATTGCTGCTTTTAGAAACCTTGTCCATGAAACAGCATAGTTTAGTACTTAGCATAGTATGTTACATCTATTAGGCACCTTGTAAATATTTCTTTTAGCTGGGTTGGGAGAACAATAAGAATTATCAATGTACTTTTTTAGTATATTTGCATCAGGCTCTTATGAAAAAGGTGAGACTTGAGATGGACCTTGTCAAAGGCAGACAGGATAGATAGAAGAAAGCAGGAAGGACACCGGGGGTAGAAGACATGATTCAGGCAAAGAAAAGATAGGAATGAACCTTGTATGTGCTCAGAGACTCATGTGATGAGAAAGGAAGGTAGAGGTTAGGGAGGAGTGATAAATTACACTGACTGTGTACAAAGAGTACTTAAAAACCAGGTAGTTTGGACTTATCAGATGAAAAGTAGATGTTTGAGCCAAGTTATAGTGTTTTATTTGTTTTAGTTTTTATTATGGAAAAATTTGAATGTATACAAAATACGTAGATGTAGAAAGAATACTATAGTAAGCCCTATGTATCTGTCTCTAGCTCTGATTGTCAACTCATGGTCTAACTCATTTTATCTGTACCTTTTCCCATTCCCCTGATTATTTTGAAACAAATTCTAGCTTTACTATAGAAGAACCTAATTCTATAGATATTTTAGTATATCAGAAAAAGGATAGATATGATTTTTAAAAACATAACTGCAATGCCATAATCACATATAAAATAATTGAAAATAATCCCTAATATCATATCTTGTCGGTGTTCAAATTTTCCTGATCATGAATTTTTTTATAGTTGGTTTATTTCATCAGGATCCAAATAAGATCTAGATATTGGAGTTCATTCCTACTGTCTTTTGAGTCTTTTAAATTCAGCTAAGTCTCTCTCCTCTTTTTTCTGGCATTTGCATTTGTTGTAGAAACAAAGTTGTGTGTCCTGGATCTTGCTGATTGTATCCCCTGAGTGTTCATGGTGTCATTTAGCATGGTCTTCTATCTTTTGTATTTCTTGGATATTGGCAGGTAGATTTAGAGGCTTGAACAGATTCAGGTTGGTTGGTTGGTTGTTTTGGGCAAGACCACTTTATAGGGAGGCAAGTACTGTCTGATTGTCACTTTCTTTGTGGATTTAAAAGCTATTGATTATTGCTTAAATCCATTCTTTCATTAGGGGTTATAAAACACTGATTTTGTAATTCTTTCGTTTCTTTCTTTATTAGCTGAACTACTTTAGAGAAAATTTTTCTCATCAGTGATTTGGTTTCCTATAATTCATATAGGAAAGGAAAGTAAGAAAAATGTTTTATTTATTTTCTTTTAAACAAGTTTCAAAATAAAATACTGTAATGGGTTGATTCCTTCAATTAAGGATCCTCTAAAGTAAGAGTTTTTGTTTTTATTTTTGTGTTTTTAAGAAGTATCATTAGAAACACAGATTTAAACATATTGTTAGTTTTAATTCATTACAATTATTCTTATTGGTACTCAAATTAACCCCAATTTTGACCACTGAGAGTCTCTTGTTGTCTCATGTCTTTTTGACATAACCCCAGAAGCTTTTTTGCTTTCTGCTTTATAAGATGTTCCAGGTTCATCTTTATTTTTAGCTTTAAATCTGGAAATAAGCAATTCTTCAAAGAGTCCTGGTTCCTTTTAGTGGAAAATAGCATTTACATACCACAGTTTGGCTGCTAGAAGCTTTTAGGTTGGTTTTTAGGCCTTTTCAAAAGGTAGAACTCAGCAATATGTTTTATTTGTATGTTTATCTTTAAGATAAAACACGCTGAGCACTGCATGGTGTCTCACACCTGTAATCCCAGGACTTTGGGAGGCTGAGACAAGAGGATTGCTGGAGCTCAGGTGTTCAAGACTAGCCTGGGAACATAGCAAGACCTCTTCTCTGCAAAAATAGAAAATAAAAATTAGCCAGGCATGGTGGTATGTGTCTGTAGTCCGAGCTACTCAGGAAGCTGAGGTGGAAGGACAGTCTGAGCCCAGAAGGTCGAAGCTGTGGTAAATTGTGATCATGCCACCATACTGTAGCCTAGGTGACAGTGAGACCCCCGACTCAAAAAAAAAAAAAAGACAACAAATCCTAAATGTATATTAATACTTTTAATTCAAATTCAGAATATGGAGTTTTGTTTTGTTTTGTTTTGTTTTGAGTCGGAATCTCACTCTGTCACCCAGGCTGGAGTGTAGTGGCATGCTCATGGCCACCCCAGCATCGACCTGCTGGGCTCCGGCAATCCTTCTGCCTCAGCCTTCCAAGTAACCAGAACTACAGGCATACGCTACTGCACCTGGCTAATTTTTAAAAATTTATTGTAGAGATGAGGTCTTGCCAACTTGCCCAGGCTGGTCTTGAACCTGTGAGCTTAGGCAGTCTCCTTACCTCGGTCTCCCAAAGTGCTGGGATTACAGTCTTGAGCCACCACGCCCGGCCTGGAATGTGGAGTTTTTATTTACATCTTACATTTATTATCTTTCCCTGTGCTGTAAAACTCAGTTCCTGACACAAGTAGCTATTCATTTGCTCTAACCCAAAATAGGTGCGCAACAGCCTCAGAATAACAGTACCAACAAGATTACAGTAATATGAAGAATACAAATTTATGTCTTTTTGTCCTCAGTATATGTGCACTATATACAAACTACTGAGTTTTATACACTTGAGGCTGGGTACTTGAGTGGTACACACCTGTAATCCCAGCGCTTTGGGAGGCCGAAGCAGGAGGATTGCTTGAGCCCAGGAGTTTGAGAACAGCCTAGGAAACATAATGAGACCTTGTCTCTACAAAAAAATAAACAAATTAGCCAGGCATGGTGGCATGAGCCTATAGTCCCAGCTACTGAAGAGGCTGAGGTGGAAAGATCACTTGAGCCCACGAGTTTGAGGGTGTGGTGAGCTGTTATCATGCCACTGCACTCCAGCCTGGGCTACAGAGTAAGATCCTGAAAAAAAGATACTTTAAATAGGTCCTGTTTGTGTAATTTCCCTACCAATTCAGTAACAATTAAGTTCCTTATTTTCCACTTTACTTTTGATTTTTAGGTATTGCTTTTTAAATTTAATTTTGTTTTCCTAAATTAAGAAAAATATTTGTTTCCAAAATCAGATCTATAAAATAAGGAATACTCAGCCGGGCTCGGTGGCTCAGCCTGTAATCCCAGCACTTTGGGAGGCTGAGGTGAGTGGATTGCTTGAGCCCGCGGGTTCGAGACCCGCCTGGGCAACTTGGCGAGACCTCA